AAATATCCATGGGTTCCCTTCAGTAAATGTTCAATAAGAGTGCACAAATGTATACACTAGCATGCAGTGAATATACCTCTGGATGTAGAGCACCATACTTGGTTGGTTGACTAAACTCATTAAGTTAAATTAATTTGATGGGTTTTATTATTTTTCTTTTTTTAATGCATGATTTATATTACTTTTATTATTATTTCTGCATTTTCTCTCTCCCCCTCTTTTTGTTTTACATATTGCTTTCATTTGTTTATAGAAGAAAAGAAAGCAGATCCAGAGAATGGGGATACAGGTAGGGTGACTTATTCAAAATATTTTTTGTGGTTTTACCCTTAAGTTCTTTGATCTATTATGTTTAAACAAATGTGTAGAATAGAGTTGGATCACAATTTTGATGTATTTTTGGGATTTCAAAATAGACAAATTTTGAAATTTTCCCAAATTTTCCCAAATGTATTTCCTTTGCTTTTTTAGTGGAGTCAAATTAGAGTGAGAAATGGGAAGAAGAAACCAGAACCAGCTAAAGAAGGCTGTCATACACTTTAAGACTTCTGTTCTGTTCTTCCCTCTCCAGATATGGTGTGCTCAGCTCCACACCTCCTTTTTCTTCTGTTACAGGTTTCTGATTTCCAGAATCTCAGTCTTTATTTTGTCCCTTCATTGCTAGTTTTTTCTCATGCCTGAGTGGCTATGCCTCCCAAATTTTGTATCCCTTTTGTCTATATGTCTCCAAAACTCAATCTATCCTAATACACTCTACTTCCATACACCAGTTTCCCTTTTACCCTCTGTGCCCCAGAAGCCTCACTGTACAGCAAACTCCTCCAAACACATCACTATCATCAGCATCTATAGGAACCAGAATGCTTTAATAACTCCCACCAGAAGGCAACGAAAGAAAGAATGGAAGAACAGAGGTCCCAGCTGTTTTCATTTTTATTTTTTAAATACATAGGTTTGCCTTCAGCTAAGCTGGGGAATAAGGCCAGTTTGTTGTCCCTTTTGTCTCTGCTATGGATCACAGGCTATCAACTGAAGGGTCTTACCTACTCTAGAGAGTAGCCAATATCTTACCAGCAGAACAAATAACAGTCTTTAGCCCCAGGATGAATTGAGAGATTGCTTATCTCCTTGTAAAACTGTGATCCCTGAGCAGCTGAGGTCAGAAAAAGTTAGGTATGAACCAAATTACTGATTATAGCCCTTTAAAATTTTTAGCATGAAACAAATATTCAGTTTTCAGTTATGAGGAAAGCTTTAATGGTGAAGTAGCTGAATCTTATCTTATTTTCAAGCTAAAACATGAAAATAATGGTTTTTATTTGAAGCTGGAGCAGTGATTCCAGTACCTGCAGGCACCCTTTTTGTCTGTGTCTTGAGACATTTCCCTATCTTTCGTTATAGGATATCCTGTAGCTAAAGTTGTAATTATAATCCTTTGTCTACTGGTTACATTTCCATAGATAAAAACAAAGGTCAAAGTACAATTCATATGGCCTAAGGTTTAATTTACAGTGGTCACTAGAGCTAAGCTCTGGCACAACTAACTTAGTCTCTAACTACAGTTCTTGTGGATCTGAGGGTAGGTTACAGGGCTGCTGTGCACTATATTTGGATGTCTTACTCTGGCATTTCAGGACTGTCTTTACACTGTAGTTATGCTGCTTTCCCTCAGCACACTCTTTTCTGAAAAGACAGAGAATGGCTAATAATGAATCAGCAGCTGGTTCTGTCAGCCAGGAATTTCCCTGTGCCCATGAAAACTCCACTGTACCAACCTTCAGGCCATGGCTCTCTAATGGTGGAGTTATTCAAAATAAACAAAACTCCAATATATTGCCTACAGTGCAATTATCCCGGTTATGTTTGGTGAGCAACACCAGGCTTTTTTCTCCCATTCAGTCTTTTTTATTTTTTGTGTTCCTATGGCTGACATTTGAGTGTCTCATTGGATATTTCTGTTGGAGGTACAGCTACTGTTTAGAAGCAAAATTCCAGAAGGAAGTTAAGGTAGAAATGTACAAATGAACTCATTTTGCCTGGCCAAAATTTATACTTTGGTACATCATGGCAGTAGATCAATACATCAGAAGTAGCTTTACTTTTTCTAGTGTCAGACTCTGTAGTCCTGAAAATGTTGTGCTGGGCTCTAGCTAAGGATCTGAATAACACAAGGGCTCAGTCAGCCCCCGTGTTATTTGGACATGTGAAAACTTATGCTCCTACATTTTTGCCACTGTGGATACCTAATGGTTAGATTCAGGCTAATTCTGGTTTATCTACACATGCTCTATAAACAGCTCCTGATTACAGTGAAGTCCTTAGGATAGGACTGATGTTCAGTCTTGGTTACTAAACTCATGTTAAAAGCTGAACGTACGCAGGGAGTTACTGAACTCTAGAAGAATTTTCTGCTTCTGCTAGACGCCCTCACATAGGTTTCAGCAGGTATAGATTTGCCAGCAGAAGTGGAGATGATGACAGCCCTGCATTTGCACCATTTAGTGCAACATGGACCTCGTGAATGGGAAGTGCCATGACATTCACTCAACCTTTCCTACTGCCATCTGGCTTAAGTTACAGTGAGATCAGCCCGTGGCAGCCAGGAACCCTGCACACTTTCTGCATGGCAGTTCCTTGTACAGCAGAACCAGAGCTGATCTTCTGCATTGTGAACTTTCCACTGCACTCAGGTTTTCCTCTTTTTTGCATATAACTGAATCCACTCACTTGTTAAAGACAGTTTCAAAAATGCAAAGCAAGTTAGATTTTCCTTTAATAAGATTTTATGGGAATAGAACAATGTTTTTTCAAAATTCTTCTGTCTTGTTTTTCTCTTAGACAAAAATAAACCACAAATTTTGCTTGTTTTGCTGCAGAGGTCTCACCAAGCTCTTACGTGTTATGCTCCTCTTTTGAATGGTATATTTCAGAGTGCTGGGTTTTGCATATTGTAGGCAATTGGATTTCTGAAAATCTAGCTTTCACTTTGCCAGCTGAACATAGATAAGAATGGATATTTTCTCAAGTAATTGTGAAATTTCTAATTTACGATCAAGAAGTGCTATTTCATCTCTTCTTGTAATTTCCTGAAATTTAGCAGGATGTTTGGCAAAAAAGAATGCATGCAATGATTTCATAAGAAAACAGAAGAAAAATTGACAATATTTCTATTTTGCAAAAAAATATCTCCTTTCTTTACATTACTGAAAAATGCCAAGTGGATTTGCAGAATGTTATGACAAAATAACAAAAAAAGCAAAAGATGACTTCTTTCTTTGAGCAGACGTAACACCTTATATGTTACTTCTGTCATTGAAAAAAGAAAAAATCATTTTCCAGTGTAAAGTTTTTTTTTCAAGAGGAAAAAATATATCTTTAGAGCTTTTAAAACGACATCCTAAAAAAGTCACTTCATCTTTACAATAAATTGACAAATGCTGCTATGGGGCGTATAATAGTTGAGGAAAATTGTGATAGGAAAAACTAGATGTATTTTATTTGAGGAATTTTCATTTGCTGCTCTCCTTTCTATTTTATTTCTCCCTATAAAATCCCATTTCTTCTTTCTAATTAATTTTTCTTTATTTTAATTTCTCTTAGAATCTTTTCATTCATGTTGTTGTGGGGAATAAGGATGTGGAGTGAGAATACAAAAATCAGAAGCCAGAGGGTTTATAGGGAACAGTAGAATTTAGTCTTTTTGCATTCCCACTTTCTTTCACCTTCTCTCCTTTCAGATTTCCTATGAAGTGCCCCAACATTTACCTGGCAGATCTCATAGTATTTGCTACTACCTTTACTGTTTTCAAGAAAGACAACACAAAGCTCAGAGGCCCTGCGTAGTTCTTGTGCAGAACCCCACTTTACTGTTAGATTGTGACTTGCAACGGAGGCTTAGAGTTTAAATCAGTTTTATTTAGTATACTGAAATATAATATTCCCATCTCAGTTCCATATGTACAGTCCAGATTGTTCAATGCATATAATATACAGAAATTTCCATTTATGACTAGTGGGATTCTAAAATTTTAATCCTAAATAAGTTTTGTGTTAAAATTATGAAAAGTTTAAGACAATGTCAGTCAAAATGAGTATGTTTTAGCATTCAGTGCATAATGAACTATTCTTGACTTATACCATGTTAAAATGGAAAAGAATCAAACCTGTGTGTGTATAATCGCTACCTATATTTTGTTTGAAAATCTCTTCTGAGTGGTTGCCTTCCTCTTTTTTTTCTGCTTCTCAGTTTTCCACCTCAGCTTTGGCACCTCCTTATTATTTTACAAAGTAAATTGTGGTGTTACAGTACCAGCTGGTTGAAACCAGCTGCTGCCTGAGTCATGTAGTAAGAACCCATCTCTGACTGAAACTAATCACATATTTGATCCAAGAATGAATCCTGAAATCATTCTTGAAATTGTGTGTCATTAGAACATAATACAATGATGCCACTGGGTGGCTCTTTAAGATTCTTTTAGACATCTTTAAATAGTTTTGAGCATACCAAGAATATGCTCCAATGGTAAACAGAAGGTCTGCTAGTCTCTGGTGGTCACTTGACTAGTAATTTGGTATGTCACATTATAGTAAATGCAGAACCAGGATCTGCACCCAAATAAGCAAGTTGTCTTTGCATTCCTTTTTATTAAATGAAAGACTCAATTTCTCTTAATTATTTTTGAAATAATAAAGTTATATTCTGTGGAAGCATTGTGTTCCATTTATATTTAGTTTTCCACAAAGTTGTTTTCATTTGAACTGTGTAGATAATACGACATTTATTAAGACTGCTGAAATACTTATCTGATATTTTCCTCCTGTTACAACTTTTTAGTTTTCTGCAACATCGTACTTCAGAAATTAAAATTATATACACAGAACTTAAGTAAATCAAATTTCATCTCTTTTTGTTAAAACTTCCATAAATATAATTTTAACCTTGGAATTGAGGACTGCTTGTGTATTTATTTTCTTTCTTTTTTTTTTTTTTAACTTAACAGGTGCAATGGATGTAGAAGAAAGGAATCGCCAAATGAAAATGAGCAAGTACAAACAGGTAGCAGGATCAGATTCCAGGCTGGAACAAGATTATCATTCTAAGGCAAGGGAGTTTTGTTTTGAAAAGCGACAAAATATGCTAAACTGAAATATCCAACATCCTTTTAGAAAGTAATAGATGAGTGGCAGGTTTTTTCTTCAGTAAAAGTTTCTTGTGTGTCTATAATAAAATTTTTGGAAATGTGCAGCAAAACAATACACAGAGTTCTTGATTATTAAAATTTAAGAAGGCTAAGTTAAAGCAAATGAAATAGGCAGTGTAATTATCCACTGAAAGGAACAATAGTTCCATGATTTAAAAACTCAAAGAGAAGTAAAAAAGATGTTTATTGAGTGACAGATGGAATGAGCCCTATTGAAACTTGTTCATGGCTTTCACATAGTTGAACAAAGAGTTTTCTTGATCTATTGAAAACTGGAAGATGCAGTGTTAGTTACTTGTTACAATTAGCACTTGGAAAGGTGTTTTATACACCAACAAAAGCTTTCACCCCAGCTGTGGCAGTTTTCCAAGAAGCTGAATCTCTGTGTAGTAATATAACCTTAAATATACTGTCCAAAATTTCCTGCTATCTGGAACAGGGTCGTGTCATATAGACTGTGTTAATTAAAATAATCAAGATATTTTCAATTTAAACTTCTATTATGCAAAAATAATTTAGTGTCCTCTGAAAGACTTCATTAATTGAGGTCAGATCATAAGTGGAAAACACGAGACTTCTGACCTATAAAAGCGGGTTGAGGAAGAGAAGTCTGTTTTAGGCTTTTATTTCCAGGGTATAGTTCCTTGCTCCCAGTATTGGCAAAGCTGCTGTAAAATGAGATATTTAATATTTGAAGGCAAAGAAATTGTCAAATTTATTAAGTATTATTGGTTTTGAAGAAAATGTGACTAATACCCTTGTTATAATTACTTTTTAGAATATACATTTCAGTGCAGGAAAATAGAGGAAGAATTTAGCAAAGCCCATTTCAAAATGAAAAACCCTGTTAACGAAAATAGAATTGACAAAGAACCCCCAAAACTGTGAAAATGGCTTAAAATACTTTAAAACTCTTTAGATGTGCTCCATGATTTTTTGGGTTTTCACATTTGTAGTTTTTACTATGCAAGGCAGAGGAATGTTTATTAATGCATGGGAGGGACTTGGTATAATGTCGTGTTTAGATGTTTCTTTTGACACCTATAGCAAAATTATTTTCCTGTGTTTCTATATTGTGGGCTTTGAAAGGTGTTACCTTTTAGAGATGAGAATAACACTGTGAGCAGACCTTATCGTAAGTGTTGTGATTGTATGTACCACAAAAATATGACTTTATGTATTGTATGTATAATCAGATTTTAATTTAATCTGCTGATTTTCCTGCTCCCTCTATGCTTGACTGAAATATGAGTCAGAAGTAGGACTGGTGTGGAGAAAATGGGTTCTCATGTGAAGGAGCTGGATAGAATATAACTACCTAAGGAAGTATTTACTATCTCTGTTTTTCCATTTCACCTACACCATATTATTGGGCCTCACTCTACATCTTTTATATTTTTTATTAAAATTTTAACTTCAGTATTATTGGAATGTATTAAAGAGGAAAATTATAAATGGAATTATTTTATGAATATGGTGATTTATTTATTGCACACATCAAACAAAATGTCTCCAGAAATAAACAGTTAATTTACTCTTCTGCCAAAGTGTAGTTTCAGTACTTGAAAATGAGTTATTTATTCTATCAATGAACTTGTGGAACTAGACACTGAGTATTTGTATATATGTATTAAATCAAAATTCATTCTTAAAACTGTGTAGTTTTAGAGTCATATGAGAACCATAACTCTCTTAAGCATATGAGTCTTCACTCTTTTACTACCACTGCTTCAATTTCCCTTAATTAAGTTCTTATATTATCTAGAGTGAGAAAAATGAGTAAGTACTATTTATCTATCTGGGTTCTACAAAAATTCTTCTGGAATCATGAACTGAAACACATATGTCAAATGCTGACTGAAATCTCATGTTTTGTGCAGCATACAGTGACTTTGATTTTTTAAACCTGTCAACTGGCACAAGCAGGCAATGAAGCATGCCACACATGAGAAAAATGTCATTAAGTAGACATTAAGCCCCATTCAGGAGAGCTAGCACATGGCATTTTCTTTTACTTTTCTGTGCTATAGTTTTTTCTTTAAATGGAAATCAACAACTATATGTCCCCCATGATTACTCTGAGTTAAGAAAAAAATATCCTTCATTGCAGAAAAAGCAAAGGCTATAAAAACAGAAGTTGTAGTAAATATTAAAATATTAAAGAAGACATCTTGTATTATACCTCTAGAAGTCAATACTAGAGGCTTTAGAGGAAGTTACATACCCTTCTGTGGTGCATAGTTATAACAATAAGAAGCTTGTGGGAAAAGTTTACTTCCAGACCTCGGTATTCTTAGAAGCTGCTGAAATAGGAAATTGATTTTCCCCTCATATTTTTTTCCTCATGATTCATAAAATTGCAGGTTGTATTTTTATTATTCTTATACATGTCTCGTTGTATTTGGAACAATGTTATTCTGCTTTCATAATATTTTGTATACATTAGTTTGGCAGGTAATACAGTGTGTAAAGGAGTTATTTCTTTAAATAACATCTTTCAGAAGCTGCTGAAGTATGATTTTAGGGCAGATATAGGGAAAGCAGGCAATATATTTATTTTTATATAATGTTTACAACTAAGCAGACATGAGAGGAAAAACATTGTGGGCACTAAGGATTAGGTATTGGAACAACGATTTCTGCTTATTGAGTACCAGGAGACTTGTACTAAGTATATATACTAAAGTCTGAATTGTGGCGCTGGTAGAAGCTGACACAGAAGTAAACCTGAATTCTGGAAATACAGAAAAAATCACAGTAGCACAAGAGTATTCCACCAGAGACAAAATTAACCATTTACCATACTAATTTGTGTAATTTTCCTCAAGGATCTTTCAATGTCTGGTTTATTGTTTTGCATAAAAACTGAGCTTCCCAATTCTAAAGTGTTTAATCAAGATGCACTGTGAAGAGGAAAGGGCCAGGATGGGAACTGATGAGCCCCATGCTAGATTCACATTGTTCACATTTGGTTGAACTGACTTTTGAAGTCAGTTCTCAAACTACCTCATCAAACCTCTCTGAGCTTCTCTGCCTTGCTGAGCCCTGATAGTGCTATGTGTGGTGGGAATGCCTTCCCCTGGCCGTTCCCACTGCTGCTCAGATTCAGGAAACCTTGCTGACAAACGAAGGATGAAGGGTGTGAGAGATCATGCCACTCCTCTCTCCTTGCCCCATGACTAGAACTTGGCCAGTGGATCATCTGAGGAGAGTTGAAATGCTTTGCTCCTACTGAGGAAAATGAGAGAGGATACTTCTTGTATGTGGAGTCCTAGCAGTGTTTGCAAACAGTGTGAAGTTTGCAGTCAAATGTAGAATCAAGAGAGAATTCCATCAACTCAGGCTATATTAGCTACTTCAAAAAATCTGAGTCACTACAAGCATAAAATGTCAAACGAAAGGATTTGTGTAGGAGTTGGAATAATGAAAAACCATGGTTTTCTTTAGGAATAAAGGTAAAACAGAGACTGGCTACTAGCTGACACACATTTAAACTTCAAAGTATCTTGAGACTCATTTTATTTGTTTTATTAGGAGAAAATAATGACCTACAAAAAGGCAGAGAAATCCAGTTACTTAATATAGCAATTAGTAATAGTAATGTAGTAATTAGGAACATAGTATGTTAGAGCAACAAGGAATAAAGTAGGGATAAAAGAGGTAAAAGACCAGATAAAACCTGATATTTTTGCTGAACAAGCTTATTTAGGCTTATAAAGAGTACATCAAATAAACAATTATACAGAACATCAAAGAGGATTTCTCAACTCCTCCTCTAATGATTCATATTGATGATAAGACTGAAACTTCCTGCATCATCAGATGCATGTAAAGCTGCAGTTCCTGATAATCAATAACCACAATACAAGTTCAATATAGAAGCATAATTCTCCCTGTTTGGTGTACGAAACTAGTACTATTAGGCATACTAGCATTCTGCTTTATGATCTTCTAAACTGATAACAAAACCAAGACAAATTAAACTGTGGAAAAGAAGAGTCAAGCACGTGCTCAGTTCATTGGAGTAGTGTAGATGCAGCTGAAATGCTCTTGGAGCATGCAGACACTGAACAGCTGAGTTCTTCAGACTGAGACACTTTGGTTCAGCAGTGAATCAAGTAACACCTTGTGGGTTACCTGTGTGAGAGAATGTGCAAAAGGTAAGAGCTGTAACACTGGAGGTGGAAGAGGCTGAATTTGAATACCTCAGAAGCAGATCTCAGTTCTCATTCTTGCAATATGCAAAAGTGTCCAAGAGCTGCCTTTTTCCTCTGAAACCTGCAGTAAATAGGTGTGTCATTGTTACAGCTACATCTGGTATCCTCTGATTGGTGCTGTTGACTGAAACCTTTGATTTGATGATGTTTTGGGAATGCCCTTGTCTTCTCCTTAAAGATCAAAGCAGAGCAGCAAAGATTGCTAGCAGAAGCACTTGTCACTTTTCTTCTTGAAACCTTTGTGGAGTTGAACAAACATCCAAACTAAAGAGATGTTGACATCATTGATAATTTACTGCACATAAGCCGTATTTGATTTATGTTGGGTTTATATTAGCAATTATTTTAGAGTTTGGGAGTTCTGGGAAGATCATGATATGCCCAGTAATAATTTGATAATTTATAATAATTATGAATATACATCTTTGATCCTATAATTGTTTCTTACAACTTCTGTTGTGAAGGATGTAAAGAGAAATATTCAAAATATTGAGTACAAAATGGAGGCTTTGTTAGATATCCATATTCCCTCAAAACAGTGCATAAATTGTTTTGTATACATTTCTATTTAATATACCAGTTAAATTTTAAAAATTTAAATATCTGGATAAAACTTGTAAAGACAAAATAATTAGAATGGACCTTTGCTGAAGAATAATTAAGAAGTCAAGGCTAACATGGAC